TGTACCACAAGACAAGTCCCATGATCCACTTCAACTCATCGAGCACGGCGCGTCCGCTTTCGTCCGAGATTGATGCTTTCTACCTGCTACATGGTTGACACTTACTCGCACGTCGTTGAATGTGGAACACAACAAACAACATGGCTTCGAGGGTGATGATTATGATGTTTCTGTGGTGAATATGGTGCTTCTGTGATGTTTCTGTGGTGCTTATGACAATCGACCAAGGGTCGGGCGGATCATATAGTTGGAAATATTTGAGCTGCTACCAGGTGTTGCAGCGTTACTGATAATGAGTTACTTTTAGTGAGTTCTAATATTACCCTACATAATTTTGCATAACCTGTCGTAGGACAAAAAAAAATATAAGCCCGTGAGTAGATTGAATTGACCCCGTTGAATTGAATTGGTCCCGTGGAACGCGGCTGGGTGATTGTCTAAAAATGATTAACGGTCGATGTATCGAATAAATCAACTTCATTCGCGAATGAATTGCTATTCAACCCTGCGTATGAACCCGTCCGCGTGCCCCATCAGATAAGACCCTTGTGACAACAGTGATTTGATTGATTTATTAATATGTGGGGGTTAACGTCCCAAAACCACCATATGATTATGCGAGACGCCGTAGTGGAGGGCTCCGGAAAATTTGACCACCTGGGGTTCTTTAACGTGTACCCAAATCCGAGCACACGTACCTACAGCATTTCCGCCTCCAGCGAAAATCCAGCCGCCGCAGCCGGGATTCGATCCCGTGACCTGTGGGTCAGCAGCCGAGTACTTTAGCCACTAGGCCACCATGGCGAGGCTATTGAGACAACAGTGCAGTTGAAATAATTGACAGACATAGTTGCAGCGTAATCATTTTGATAGTTATTTTTCTGACCGAGTAAATACGTCGGCAGCCCCATAAGAAGCGTTCGAGGGTTTCTATTTTACTGCAAAAGAAGTGTGAAGGAGAGATCACTAGGCCAGCTCCTGGGCATGTATGAGTTGAGATTTTACATTGCATCCATGACATCACTGCTTCGTCCTGCCTTGTTTTATACAATTTTCAGAAAGGTTAAGTGTGTTTCGGAGGAAGTCGAGGACTGCGTAGATGCAAATTAAAAAATGGACGCAAATGTCATTTGTTCAGTTTTATTAGTGAAACAAACAGAATTTCGCACTGACATCAAAGTTCGTTTTTCTTTTCTTTAACAATGCTTATTTGCGCCTGCATTCGCATGTTTTCCTCAAACAGAAACATTTCACTATGGCCATCCTCCAAGATGCGAGGTCCGACGTTCTGCACCATCGGAGGTTCTCCCAAGCCCGTGTCTTCGGGCGTGCACGTTGGAGGCGAGTGAGCGCAGATTGCGTACCGGGTTCGTAATCGTCGTGTTTGCAGCCTCGATTCCCTTGCACTCACCGAGGCAATCCCGTCTCCGGATTTCCTTACGTACACAACGCGCTCTCGAGGAAAGCGTCAAAAAAAAAAAAAGGGGGGGGGGGGCAGCGAGAGGAACGAGAAGTGAAACCAGTGAACGGGCGCCGACTTCGTGTAAGCTGGAGGGCACTCGCAAAGTTGGCGTTGAGTTGCAGAGAACTGCGCGCCAGATCGGCACCATCGCTTCACGAGCCGATAGCAGACGCCGTTTTGAGCAGACGGATATTTCTCGTGCTGCGCTTGCGTGACCAACTGCGCCGACGTGTGGTGAATGTGTGCAGACTCTGTTACGGTATAGTGTGATGAACTGGTATCTTTTTTCCGACGAGCGCCAGAGCCGTGTTTTATCGGAGCAGCTCAGTGGGAGCGGCTCGACCGGGACATCGTCCTCAGCGCACGCTGCGCATGCGCGGGCGGTTTGAAGGTGAGAAACACACATTAAGGGGTGAAAAGGGCGTATTTGTGGTGTCGGTATGTCATTCAACAGCAATCGTAATGCATCTCACGTGGCTTAAATTTGCTTGCAATATAGCCTTCTCCGCCGCGGTGGATGAGTGGCTAGGGTGCTCGGCTGCTGGTCCGAAGGTCAAGAATTTCGATCCCGGCCGCGGCATTTCGATGAGGGCGAAACTGTTGAAGTCACTCTACCCGTGTGCTGGGTGAAGTCAGTGCTCGTCAAAGGGTGCGAGATGGTCCAAATTTCTGGAGCACTCCACTACGGCGTCTCTCGTAATCATATCGCGGTTTTGGGACGTAAAGCCCCACGTATTATTATTATAAGCCGAGCGCCTCGTACTGAGCTTCTGAGTCACTGACACGCCGGCGTTCCTTTCTAAATGTTCGTGACATGACGTTCTCGGCAGAAAATAGGCTAATTATTCACACGTGTACTCTAGTCCCGGAAAACACGCGTACTTTATTTAGGCACCAAACTCTCAGCAGTTCGGTCACCACAACCCGGCTGATTCGGACATTATCCTCGGAGCTGCACCGAGCTCAAAGCGCCGCAAACAGTGCGCGATGCAGAGGAATCAGGGGCGGCGCCAGCGTGGGGTATAGTGAAAGACTGTAGCCCCCCCCCCCCCCTCGTAAATTCTGCCTCCCGCCCTTTGCTCGCCCTCCCCCAACAGCAAGTACAGTCAAAACACAAGGCTTATGTTCCAATCCTCCGTGCCCCCTGAAGGAACTCATTTGTCGTTGGTGCCCCTCCAGTAAAAAAAAAAAAAAAAAAAAAAAAAAAAAAAAAAAAAAAAACACTTCACGCCGTCTCTGCAGTGTGCGCGAGGAATAAAAATGGCGTTCGCCGACAATGCGAACAGCCGCGTACTTTCAGGGAGGCGTGGTCAGTAGATCACGTTAATCAGTAGAGAAAACTTCAAGTGGTCTAATTAGATAAATACCACTTCGCATCAATTGGTTTTTCGACCATTTGGATTTTCACACACCATTGGGAACGTACTACTTGGTAAACCGGTCCATGTCCCATTGTTCAACCATTTAGGCAGAACTTAAGGTTAATCGGTTGACCAGTTGATGTAGACTGGGGCCCAATCGGTCATCCAGCTGGAGCTGGTGCCCAAATGGTGAAACAGTTAATGTGAACTGGTGTGAAACTCGTCATCCAGTTAATCGTAAATGGCACCGCTCTTGTGCCAAATAATTATTGGATATATGAATCCCCCCCCCCCCCCCAAAAAAAATGAAAGTGCAATCATGTAATAGGAATTCAATTGTTTTCTTGGTCCTTTTGATAATTTGGCATTCGGTTAATTCAGACTCTTTCTCCGCTCCCACCAAAACAGAATTAACACGCGTTTAGTGTTGCATATGTGGCAACTTGTTCGCAGCATGATGACACCTGCAACTTATTTCAAGGGGTCATGCAATGAGTGCTTCTTTGGTGAAGGTCTTTGAACTGTCTACAAAACACCCTATAATTGATAGGGTTTAACGCCCCAAAACCACAATATGATTGCGAGAAACGCCGGTTGGCCCCCTGCGGTTCTTACATGGACCAGGAGTATTTTCGCCTCCATTGGAAGTGCGGCCGGCGCAGCCTGGATTCGATCCCGCGACCTGCGGGTCAGCAGTCGAACACGATAACCACTAGACCGCCAGCCGTGGCGGGTCTGCAACGCGGGCTAGAGTGCTGACTGCATAATCATGACGGAATCAAGCAGACACGCCTAAACTGCAGTAAAAGAGAAAGTTTTCTGAATATGTAATATTGCATATGTCAAGGAAATCGTGAGGCTCTGGATCCTGCCGAAGCCAAGATATACGTGGCTCATTCGACAAGCCGGAAAGGGAGACTGTGGATTAATTATCACCTTGAGATCTCTATAATGCGCCCAAATAAACACAGTTCATATGTATAACAGCACAAACACGGCGAACAGGAAAAAAAACTGGAAGTGCGCAGGGCAAAGCGCTGGCATGAACGAATGGTTTATTCATTTGGGTTAATTAGCATACTTTTGTGACCATTCTTTGATATCAGACAGGATGTCACCGGAATATCGAAAAAAGAGGTATAACATTAAGAGCCTCTACAAGCACGTGTGCCAGTGAGTCATGGACTTCCATAGCAATGAATCCACCTCCACACACGAAAAGAACAATAAATGTTCATTTATGTTAGTAAGACCAAAGGAGCGCTTATAAGCCCACTGGGGTGCTATTTTTTTGTAACGTGCTTTTGTTATTATATCTACAAAATGTAGCCTGTCAGTAAACGTTACTGATGTAAATAAGCAAATTTTAGGCAGCCTGTATACATTGCAATATTGATTGCTGCCGCAAGACACCACGTACTGGACAAATCACAGTGATACAGTTCAACGCAGTGTGTTCACTGCGGAAATATCTCCACAGTGGATATGTGGCGCTGCGATTCCGAAGTTGCGGGTTCGATTCTCACAGCGGCACCCGCACGGAGATAGAGGCGTAGAGGAAGCGTGCTCTACGAAATCTCAATTTCGGAACTGCAGCATGGCGGCTTTGAATAACATGGCGGCTTTGGCGGGCCCTATTCAAAGCCGCCGAGCATGGCGGCTTTGAATAGGGCCCGTGCAGTCTATCCCGTACCTTTTTATATTGCTTTATGGGCGTGGAAAATATGTTAGTTTTGATAACATATAGTTTAGATCAATCTATAGTGTTGTGTGCTCTTGAATTTCGCGCAATTCCCCGAACGCAACGTCACACATAAACGTCATGAAAACTTGCTTTATTCAGCCGTTCGCCTTTCAGGTACTCGACTTGGATCATTTGCAGCGTCAGTAAATTGAGGCCGCAGCAAATGCTTCTTAAAGCTGAAATGCGTCATACGCGCCACGTTTAGCGCCAAAAACTCGCTAGAGGCTTACAACGGGATATCGCCATTCACATTTTCAAACTTGTAAAATTGTAGTCTTTAACAGCTTTAGATGACATCTACATGTAAAAATATAAACCATGTTTTGATTTTATACATTAGAAAAAGAGCGCACATAGTTGTACTTGCGAGCGTAGAGTGCGCGAATGTTTGTTCTCGAACAGATAGAGCGGAGAGTGTGTGGTCCCGCAGTTGCGGTCATTTGGTTGTTGTCCGCGCGTACGTGAATCATGCGCGCTGATTAAGCGTACACGGCGCTGGTCTATAGGTGTTCTGTGGCTAGGTCGAGGCGAAACGAAACGGGAGCTGCTGCATCCGGCTACACGCTACAACAGCGGCTCATCGCGAATGTGTCGCCGCTGCGAACGGCAGGCGGAGCACAGGAACGCATTCGCTGCTGCTACGCTGCCTCTCGACGCATCGACAGCGGCGTTGGGTGTGTGCGTGCGTAGCATCGGGGAGCTCGTAGTAATCGGCTGCCAAAGTGGCGGGAGGAGTTCGCCGCGGGCAACTTGAAGAAAAAAAAGCAAGAGGGAGAGACCAGCATGGCCATGGCAACTCCGTCGTTCGGAGCATGGCGGCCACCGTCTACCGCATTCGTCGGGCAGTGCCCGCCAAGCTAGCGACCAGCTGACGGCCGAAACCGAAATTCTTCATCGCTACTGCGATCAACTGCGGTAAGAGAGGAAGAGAGCGAGAGAAATAGGTTAGGCCTAGTTGGAGATCGCCGCTCGTTCGGGTAGCTGCGGTTCTGTGCGAATTCAAGCCCGGCGTGTTTCCAGGAGTGAGCAAGAGGTGTTGTGTGGCGTTGTCGCTTCAGCGTGTTGCGCGAAAAAGAACGGAAAAAGTGGAAACACCTGAAAGGAGAGACGAAGTGATCAGCAGCTCCGATCGGCTACTACGATCGCGCTGTGCGTGGGGTGTGCTCGTGTGAACGTGAGACTGTAAGCTGTGCGTGTGTATGTCCGCTCCGCTACGGGTGCACGTACGTGCGTGTTTGTGGCGAAACTCGAGCGAAGTGTTCGTTTGCTGCTTCACCGGCAGGCGGTGGTGATATTTGGGACTTGGGGGGTGAACCTCGAACCTCCCTGAAGTTCTCCGGGTGCCTCGACGCAACGCTTTCCTTTGCAGGCGTGTTTCTTGGTGTTAATTTGGAAAAATGAAGCGATTAGGTGAGTAAAATAATGCAGCGATAGCAATCAATCTTTTTTGTTGTTGTTGCCCCGGTCTCGTCGCTGTACTTATAGATTGTGCATTCGTGTCATCTACCGTCTTTTTTCCATGTCGTGTTCTAACCATTATTCCCGGTTCCTCGTAATGCACTAGCGGTAAAAGCGCAGTGTGCGAAATCGTAGCCGATCGGCGTTTGGTAACCGATGCGAGGCGCGGATTCATGTGGAAAAGAACGCCGACTTTGTGACGTTAGTGTTGCCAATCAGTCATTCTAGACGAGATGCTTGACTTTGGCAGAGAACCACTTTTTTCTCTTATTTCTTTTCAGTGCGTGCTTCACAGCATGTGTGCGCCATCTGTAACGCTTTTCAGCGCCTGAGCGTACGAGCGTGAAAAAACAAGAGGTGCTAACTTAGTGGCTGAGTTTAAGTGCATACATGCAAAAACGAGCACTGTAAAACTGTGTAACACAATCTGTCGAACTGGAGCCCGATGTGGCAAACAATGTGCTGATGTCGTTTTGTTATGTCTGCAAAACCGTGACGATGCATCTCCGAATCTAATTTGCTAAATCTGATTAGGGCTCGAGAAGCCATTTGATTTTGAAAGAATGGCTCCATCTTGTAACTTAGAAGTTGGACTTTGCCAGCTACTCTTGGGTGACAGAGCACACTTGTGCTTCGCAATTTTTATTGCCAAAGGAAAAATCTCCGAGAAGTCTTTCTGATGTTCAGCACTTCAAGGAAAGCTAAGCATAAATTGGGCAACATGGCCCGATATGAACGTATGGTTAACATCGGTAGCTTGAAAAATTTGCCATGGCATTGCATGTCTGCTGTTTTTCACACAGTTTGAGATACAGTGGTACTCCGTCGATTTCAGGAGCTATTTCGGGTGAAATTGATGAACACCGGTAGTAGAAGTTTTGTAACAGCTTTTGGTATTGCTGTGCTAGACTGCGCATAGCAGTTCTTTTGTTTTTTTTTTTTCATTTGCAGAGGCATGTACGCATGGCCCGCTGTGAGGAATGTGCACATTCACATTTTAGGGGTGTTGCAAATGCTATAACCTCATGCACAAGTATAAATTGTTACATTATGCTTTTTGTCTCAAAAAGGGAGGCTCGCCTTTCATGAATGCATCAGATTAGAATACAAACTAGAATGTGCACACCTGGCGCATAGCCGTTAGTTTTATCCTTGGTGTATGTCATTAAAACTTTATGCAACTTTTATGTTGCATCTTGGGGCATGTGAACAGCTTTGTGGTACTCTATGCACGAGCATCACGTGCATGTTGGGATTTCGTATCGTAGCCTTGAGCTCTAGAGAAGAGCTACTAACTTACTGACTTCAGCTTTTTGCCGTTCTGCTGGTATATACGAAATCCTGTTTAGAGGAACACTTAGGTGCATTCAGAAACATAGAGAAGTTTTTGGAATTATATGCTCTTTTTGTTTTGTCATTAGGTAAAAAAATTAAAATAGTTATGTAAGCACAAGCACCTGTGACCAGAAGCTAGCTGAAAGCCTGATGAACGAAATATCGAACAAATTTTATTGGGCTGCAACATTAAAATGCGTAGTTCTCAATACATGAGCAAATGTAAACACGCATTCAAGATATAAAATACTTAGCATAGATAACATTTCTGCTAACAAAGATGATGCTTTGGATCCCGGTCTCTGACGAAGACTTTGGAGCATGGACAATGTGCAGATGATTTGGCTCCACATTGTTCTGGGTACCAAATTGTTGCATACACAATGCACCCTTTGCGGTCACCTGAGTCCCGCAAGGAGAGTTCGTGTTTCAAAACGTCACACCACGGGGCAATTGTCCGTAGCGGTTTCATGCAGTCGTAAAGGTTCGCGGAGAATGTTTGGCTGTCGGCTGTTTTGCCGATAAGGCTGTGTCAGAGCCACTTGTGTACGCCATATCTCGAGTATGTTATCTGTGTCGACTTTTCATCCTTTTTTTTTGTCTCTCCAATTCTGTCGGCTCATACATGGTGAAGTGTCATTGCTTTTTCTCTTCAAATAAGTGACATCCATTGTTGCGTGTAATAGTGGGGACCCGCGTAGCCCTGGAAACAATCACCTAATTAGCTCAAGTTTTGGCAGGATTTTTTTCTTGCACTGTGTCAACATGCGCCAACAGCAACAACCCGGCCATTCGTGTTCGTGTATGTTTTGCCATGATTATTGGGTGGAGATAACATTGTTGCATCATTAGCCCTTTGTGACACGTGTTTTCATTTGAAGACATCACTTATATTTGCTATTTGTGTGCACCGTTGGCAAGGAAATGACCGCGAACACAGAGCTGATAGTAAATCAATCAGTCGTGCTGCCTAAAGTTCCTATAGATCACTTTTGTTTTACATATTTTTCTATACATGATCACTTTAGTGAGAGTAGTGCCATGTTTAACAATAAGTGGGTTAAGGGACGTGACAGCAGGAATTTTTAATAAGGCATGTTTTTATCTTTTTAGGGATGTGAAGTTTGGTTTATAAAGAAATAAAGCTTATTTGGCTGTTCAGTAATTGTATAATTATTTACATTGTAATGGCAAATGATTGCCACGAGGTATGCTACAATTTGTTTCACGCTTTCACTTTCCTTAAATTTCATCTTTGGAGCCTTGGAATCAAATTGTGTAAATTTAACTTTCTAACAAAACATTAAACCATAACGTGCGTCGCAAAGAGTTAAGTTTCGTTTGTCGCAAGCTTTGAGGATAAGCTTGTGTAGAATTACAAAATACACGGGCTCGTGCGACTTCTGAATCAGAGGACACTCCCCACTGCTTGTTGGTACATACACAAAAAGAAGGAAGTTCATTTCTTGAAAACCTCACAGTTTACCTCTAATGGAGTATGGATTTAAACCCTACATTTTGCTACAATAGAAACACTACATGCAAGTACCACAGCCAAGGGTTGCTAGGCTCTTGTACAATGCAATCTGAACGCAGGCAATGTTTTGAGTTCTCATTGTTGTCACGTCAATGGAGATATATGAGCTTCCATTTGCTGCTTGCAAAACCATTGTTACAAGACCAAACAGGGCAACTGTTGTGGTCACTTGCCAGTTAGCCTAGCGAAGGATTGTGTTGGGGGTGTGCTATTTCATCTATATTTTTTAATCTTGTCTATGGCTTTTATTTTATAGCCTCGGTTGTGCATTGTTTGGAAGCACCTCACTAAATTCTCATTTTACTTCAAATGCTGTTCTTTTGTATCTTTTTTTATATAGCTGGAAAAAGGACGTTGGGAAAGATCATCATGCCAGAGCCCAACCAGAACCTTCAACAAAGAGTGTAAGATCTGCTTGAATTTATTTTTTATGTTTGTCCTTTCTTAAATGACCTGACCGTTTCACCCTCTCAGGTAAATCCAACCTGTCTATCTGTTTGTAAATTAATTTGGGTGTAGTAGAGTTTTTATTAGTTATCTGTAGGGTGAAAGTGGGGCCGTTGTATACATTGAAATACTGCGAAGTTAGAGCTTCCTATTGGCGATAATCTAAGGTGGCTAGAGCACAGAAGCTTCTGATAAATATTATTCCATCTGTCACCATAGTTTGGATAATACAGATGTTATAGGATGCACTGCTCATTGCGATCGAGCCCGGTCAGCATCTAATTTCTCAGGAGAGGTTGGCTCTCTTCTGAGACTCATGTAGAGGGGACACTCACAATTATAAAATGCTATCATGATGAAAAGTGACTGCATGTCACTGATACATGTTTTTGTAGCACTATCTATGGGTTCCAGGTGTTGGGTAGAAGCAAATATAAATGGTTAGTCAGTCTGTTTCTGCTTGGCTAGATGACAGCCGGCACTTCTGAAATTGGGGAGGCACGATGAACAAAACTTCGCTTTAAAAATAAAAGAGACACTCGAGAAAACATAATGTTTTTTTTTTTTTTTTGCAATGGCAATTGACTCCTTATTACAAAAAGCATCATTGCAAAGAGGCACCTGACAAGACGTACAATGTGCGGGGGGAAAATAAAGATGGTGACACTGGCTGGAAGTTTTCCTTGCCAGCTTATCGGGATGTCGTAGATTCTGGCAGTGTCTGCTGCACCTACCTAATTCTCCAGCAGGAAGAGTGAACCGCAGTGTGTTCTATGGATCTATTGACCTAACGTAGTAAATTCAAAAAAATTTTACTGAGCTGATGTGACCAGAAGATGAAAAGGTAGACTAAAATCTATAATGTCACATTGATATTGGGACAAACCTATGGTGGCAAAATTAAGTGTTCAGAGTTAGTTTTGAAAGAATTATTTAGAAGTATTAACTGATGAGTGTTTCAACATTAGTGTCTCTTTAAGGACATGCCCTGTCTACTTAATTATGCCAGAATTGTGTCGAGGCATTTGGCCAGAGCTGTCTTGCTATTAATTTGATTGAACAAGCAGTAAAGAAAAAGAAACCAGGGATTTGCTGCCTCTGCTACATGATGGTAAAACCTCATCAATATACACAGCATACGCTATTTTCCTAAAGGTGAATTGAAGCTGATTCACATAAGAAACAGCTCATCATTTATAGGCACCAGTGCCTCATCTTAAGATTTTCATCACTTCAAGATAAATGTGCAACTTATGCAGTATGCAGAAATCTCTTGTCTCAGTTTTTGCCAAATAGGGTCACATAATTAAAATGTACATTTTTTTATTTGTCAGCAGAAAGAAACATTCAAAGGAGCACTAAAGTTGCACAAATTCGTCAAGATTGATAAATGTTCCTCCGAGAAATATAATGACATTCGTTTCACTATCGTATGTTTATCATTACAGGAGAAAATCAAGGTCAAAGTTTTATTTTTACATTTCATGCCAAAATATTCATGCTGGACCTCGCAGCTTTATAGGTCAATTGTGTTTGGCAACATCGGCCTACCAAAATTTTCTGAAACTTTGTATGCTAAGTCTGTGGTCCCCTTAGAGGACAATGTACATCATTTTTCAAAATCTACGACTTCACGGCGTTTAGCGTTGGAATCTCAAGATGGCGTTGCCACCCACGTTTTCTCTTCATGCTTTTTCTTGCTTACGAAGTATCTTCTCACAGTGGCAGGGATGTCTTCAGGTTTGTGAAATTGCAATCTACTGATTGCAATCTACTTAGTTTATCTCTATAGTGTGCCTTTAAAAATTCAGTAGGCAGCTAGCATGACCTTCATGGACAATGTCCTCTGACAAGACTTTTTGCTGACTTTTTGCTGGTGTTGCGGAGAAAGCTGCTGTTGCGGAGAAAGCACGCAGCTGTAGTGCATACGGTTCGTAGTAGCCATCGGAGGGGACTCAACAATACTATGAGACTTGGCACGACCTTGCTAGATCTGGCACAGGCTGGTGGGAGTGCGTGGGACTTGGCAAGATGCCGTGAGACATTTTCAAGACTGTATGCGTTACGCACGCAGCACCCCTCCACGTAACCTGGACTCCCACGCGAGGCTCGTTGTGGAGGGCCAGGAAATCGAGGTCTCCACGGACGACCTCCAGGTCATCGAGGAGCTCGGGCGAGGCGCCTACGGGGTCGTTGAGAAAATGGTCCATGTACCTAGTGGTACTATCATGGCTGTAAAGGTCAGACTTCTTTCATTGATGTTGATAAGAAAGGACGTTAATCACGACCCACGGAGCAGTAAATGGGATATGATGGCTTGCTTATTGATTTAATCTCATTGAAGAAGGGGCCACTCTACACAGCAATGGATGCATGTGTGTTAGTTGGTCTCAAGATACAAGGCATTACCTATTTGGTGAAGTGAGCCCTGTGCTCTTTGTTTTGAGGCATGTATAATAAAGAAATACTATTCACTGACTAGTAATCTCGTATTAGTCATATGAAGGTGAAACCTTGTTATGCATAATTAAGCTGTGTCCTGAATAAAAATTATTTTGTCGCAATAATTGTGAAACTGTATTGTCAATGAGAAAAACTTTATGTTTGCTTTGTTCTCCCTGTTAATTTGTCTATCCATGTTCATGAGGCTTTACTGTAATTCTAATGTATGATTTGCAGGTTCTTGGTAAATGTTTGTTCAAGAGAGTTGCTTTTTGGGCAAGTGGGTGCACAATTACACTCGAGAGAAGCCACTAAATCATGTAAATAGGAAAATATGAGTAAGCCACTTCTATGTCACGGTCTCTGCTTTCTGCCTCTTAGTTATTCCAGAAAACTCTAACAACATGTGAGGATGAAGTGCATAATAGATGCCTACACTATTTCTAAGTTAAAGTGGCATTCTTTGAGTGTGAATGTTCGTACTTTATGACTTGACAATGTTTGCACAGGACACATCTTTATTTGTTTAGGCTGTGGGTTCTTTTGACTCTTTGTAAATGTTTCTTGATAATGTAATATGCAAACTTTATATTGATTGCTTGACCAATGTCTACTTTGTAGTCATAGTATCTTTTTCCATTGATGGCTTATACGGTGCCATTGTTCTCAACTTCTTAACCTCATTCTGTCTGCTGGGGTGTTCCAGAGGATAACTTTCACAGAGTGCAACCAGGAGCAGAAGCGCCTGCTGATGGACCTCGACGTCTCCATGCGCACCAGTGACTACCCCAACACAGTACAGTTCTACGGGGCGCTGTTTCGAGAGGTGGGCATTTTCCCGACTGTAGTAGTAGGAATAGAACCTGGGATGCTACGCTCAGATTCAGAATGCCGTAAGCCATTGAGCTTCATACTGTAAAAGTGAGGGTGCAATCTGGTGCTGTAATTGTTTGATCGCCATGGCAATGATGGGAACTAAGGCTTCAGGTCGGGATTAATCAGTTTGAGTTTTGCTCCGTGCACATAATCCTGTCACAATGTGTACAGTGTTGATCTCCAGTGTGGTAGCGGGGTGCAATGCAAACTCTTTACCGTGGACACTTGATTCACCGCTGCAGGTTGTTGTAGTACGTTGCTACAAACAGTTCTTTAACAGACGCCATCCGCGCAATAATGTGAGACAATTCCATTGTGTTCCTTACCCACATTTAGAACTCTACGATTGCTCTAAGTGTTTTGGGCCATGCCCACTTTTTCTGTTTTGTTTGCTGAAGGGTGCACGAAAGGGCAAGAAAATGCTTGTTTGTTAAAATGGCAAACAAAATTGAAAGTTTTTGAGAAGGCTAGAACAAAACGGAAAATTGGCTGCCCAACAATTTGTCTGGTTCTGTGTGGTTGTAGCTGGCAGCAAGAATGATTTTATTAGTCTATGATTAGATTTTGCCTAGCCGTATTCTGGCCCGTCAAGATGTCTCGCTTTTTTCAGAATGACGTTCACTTTATTGTTGTAACGTTTCGGAATGAGGGTGTTGGCAGCTATATTCCACACATTTTCAAGTTTGTTTCTCATTGTTCATCATAATCTGTGTGCGTTTGGGGTTTGTGATTTCCATATCACAGGCTTACCTATTTTTGTTCGCTGCTTGTTTGACAAGAAGAGTGAGAGCATACCAGCAAAAATTTAAGGCAATACGTTTTAGTGGCATTTTGTGCACTCAGATTTTCTAAAATAGGGCTACGTAGAGAACACTTTTGTTCACCGAAATTCTTGAAAAAAAAAAAAAAAGGAACCACCATCTTTCAGACAGTGTTGTCATTGCTTTGCAGCCTGGTATTGTGAGCATGCATTCTTCTTCACTAGTGGCACCTTTTCATGTGGCACTTGTGGAAGTTTAGGTAGCCAGGATTTGCTGCTGCTGTGCCAATTGAAGTTGTGAATGTCCTGCACTCTTTGCCGACTTGTTGTTTTTTGCAATGATCAGCTTCATTTCCAGCAATGCTGATCATTGGTGAAATTCACGTTTACTAATGCAACAACAGACACTCGTATCATGCATAAGGAACCAAATGCTAAGGCATTGTTCGTTTTTGTATCATGTGTGTGACATACTTGTGGAATACACTTGAACCTCATTACAATAAATCACGCCTGCCACGAAAGAGCTGTGAACCATTTGTACCATATAGTACCGCTGCCCGTGGTGAGATTACGGAAGATGAACAAAAAGATGGTTGCACGAAGTGGCTGTGAGGCTAGGCCTCCCCGTTCCTACGTGGGAGCGGCCTGCAACGTTGCTCTAAAGAAGTAGCGTTTCTCAGGACCCAATAAAGTTCTTTGTCTGTCTGTTGGCACAAAGTTCAATCAAGAGTGGTTCTCACAGTATGAAACGATGCTTATGTGTACGATGATGTCACTACAGGGTGATGTATGGATCTGTATGGAGGTGATGGACGTGTCACTGGACAAGTTCTACCACAAGGTGTTCAGCAAAGGAAAGACCATCCCAGAGAGCATTCTGGGGACTATTGCCTTTTCGGTGAGTAGTCATGTCTCGCTAGGTGTCTTGGTGGTGGCTGTACGACTGCAGCCCTGGATGCAGACACCTCACGGTTTGTTTTCCATCGACAGTGATTATTGCTTGCATGAAAGCCGCAACAGTGGTTGTATCAGCCTATTTTAGGAGCGGTAGCTGTGATAAGCTTGCGGCCAGTACATATTTGCTGAGTGCATGCATGTGTGCTGCGTACGGAGATATGTGGAGTGGATGTATGGACCTGAATGTGCCCAAAGTCCACCTATGGTCACTGTATTGTTTTGGCAGGCTCACCTCGGAAAATTCTAGAAAGTGTGACTACTGTAATATCTGCAGCGCTCTTTTCTGTCCTTGTTTATTGATTCCCTAGTTATCCTGCAACTGCTTCTAGGTTGCGCTCTTCGTATATTCAACTCTTTTAAATGTTTGCTCTCGTCATTGCCGTCCAGGTGGTGAGTGCCCTGCACTACCTCCAGAGCCAACTGCACGTGATCCACCGGGACGTGAAACCGTCCAATATCCTGCTGAACCGGCGTGGAGAGGTGAAGATGTGCGATTTCGGCATTTCCGGCTACCTGGTCGACTCGGTGGCCAAGACGGTCAACGCCGGCTGCAAGCCATACATGGCCGTGAGTGACTTGCCTGCCCATTTAAACGTGCCGTTGCCTCTGCAACATTCTTGGTGCCAGCAAGTGTGCAGTCGGTTGTTGAAGGCCTTTTTTTAGTCGCTGCATTTATCCTCAATACTGTAGGAGCTTTGGCTGATTGATGTTGCATAGCTTCTATTTTGAAGACACAATGATTTAAAAGAATGAATCAGTTTATATTGATAAATTGTGCTCTGATTACTCTGATGTAATTCAGTTCACCATTACAGATTCGTTGATAGAGGAGTAAATGAAGATCAAAGTGTCATTTTTAAATATTGTGCCAAAAGCTGCACGTTTCATGCCATGCTTTTCAAAGTGTATTTCTCGTTTTTTGGAAATATTGGCTCAGTGAAATTTTTGGAAACTTGATATGTTGAAGTTCTGGCCCGCTCATCACAATGCACTTAATTATTACTGATTAGGAACTACATAAGTCCTAGCATGCGCGGTCAAAATGAACACCGTCACGGTGATTGTTGTAAGAATTTCATGGTGGCATCACCTTGCACATTTTCTCTTGTAACATTTTCTATCATGCCAAAGGTCTTTTAGCAGCAATCATAGTGATCTTTATATTTTTAGAGAGTAATATACTAATATGAGACAAATTGTTTTTATTTCTAACACCCCTTTAAAAAAGTATAACCTAGACTATTTGTGTGTGTGTCGATGCGGTACAAGTTTCAGTGGCAGCTACAGTTTATTGTCAGAAATGGATGATTTGAGGTAAACTGCTCTTTGCTCCTAAGCTTCGCTGCAGCAATTTTGCAGCACTTGTAGCACAAAACACATGTTGTCTATGTGGGTCAATACAGGCCTCAAATCTTGTGCTGCAGGATCTCAAATCTTGTGCTGCAGTCAAGCCTGCATATATTGAACCCACGTACAACGGCTCATTAGGTACATCTAGCCGTTTTAAGATCTACCAAAAATATTTTCAAGATCTTGTATATTGAAATACCTACATATAGGACTTGATTGTGATCTGCATCAAGTGTGGTACATTCGCCAACCGATTTTTCAAACTCCGAAAATTTGGACTTGTTTGATATTTTGGACTTAAAAAGTGTACAATCAGGGTACCCATAGGGCTAATGCATTTTTTCGACATATTTTTCGGACAAATGAGACCCTAAAAGTTGGATTTTTAGGACTAAATCGCTTGTTTTGAGCCGCGCCATGGAATATTTCGGACGCCGCCATGTTGGATCTTCCGCCGGCTGACTAAGCTTAGTGGTTTAATTTTAAAATGGCTTTTCTGCCTCCGAGATTGGAAAGCGAACGTCATATTTCAAGTTTCGGAGGCCGTGTCTACTTTAGAAAACGCAGCACGGGACCATTTTTTCGTCTTCGGTCAGCCATAGTGGTCAGCACTGTCATCATAGCACCGTACAGGGAAAGGCGGAGCTGCGAAGTGGTGAAGTGAATGGATGGTTGTAGTATGGTTCCTAGAATAGTGAATGTGCCCGCCACGATGACATTTTTCGCTCGTGCGTACGATGACAATTTCATGCGCAGAGCCCATAGATGAAGAAATTCTTCGCCTGGTTATGCTGCAGCTGGAGAGCGGTTTGGATGATGATGATGATGATCGCCCGCAGCCATTGGCGGGGGAGATTCCCACCACGGTGACATTTTTGTCAAGCATTTACGGTGACAATATCACCTTGGCGCAATTACGGGAGAACCGAATTGCTTCCAAGCGTAGTATGAGGCAGGGCAGAATCATGGACTTTTTTAAGCCTCCCTGATGCAATAAAGTTCATATTTCTGACAAAAACGAATTTGTCGGACTGTTCGATTTTTCGAACTTTTTTTCAGTCCCCGCCAGGTCCGATAAATCGGTCGGCGACTGTATATCCATGTTTGACTGTACACATTTTTAGAGCAAGTATCCAAATAAGCAAACGGGTTCTATTTTTTTGTGTCTGAAATATCAGTCAGCCTTGTGCATTTCACCTTGCAGACGGCATGCCTAGGTCACGGCGAAACACTTATGTTTGCGTTTTTTACTGTAGTTATTTTTCCTCAAGCGTCAGTTAAGATTTCAGCATCTGTGTGCTTACTACGGTGTCTTGAATCTGTGCAGCCCGAACGGATCAACCCAGAGCGCTCGGACATGGGCTATGACGTCAAGTCCGACGTTTGGAGCTTGGGCATTACCATGGTGAGGGCTGGCGTAGTGCAGCCATTGTTTTTGTGCGAATTTGTGCGAAAGTTGTCTGTGCGAATTTCTTGTTGGTACAGAGAGATGCAGCGCTGTTCTATTATGAGTGAGAGACAAATGTTATGGAGAGGGAATCGTGTGGAGGTTAATTGCAGATGCATCCTGGACGTAAGGAAGAGGAATGGGAAACGTCAGGGTGAATCGGTGTGCACATAACTGGTGATGAACAAGTCCTTGTAGTCGGGATAGCCAGCAGAAACGGAACACACTGCGAGAATAGGAAAGACGGCTTGTCAGTTAATAGTCTGTGCTTAAATTTGCAATGTGCACTAAGGATGATCCAATTGATGTGCATTCACATTTATTGATTTTACAATATTAATAGTAATACTCGAGGCTTTATGGGCCAAAGGCACAATATTACGTGCATGCGAATATTCAAACTTATTAATAATTTTTAATAGTGCTTTTCATTTGATATACACTGGTGTTTTACTATTCACAGTGCAATCTCTGTTGTAAAAGTAATGGACATTTTCATGGGAAAAGAAGATTTATCAAAAGAACCAATACAAATGGTTAAAGTTCTTCAGAATACTCTCCTGCTGCATTAACAGACTTGCAAAAACGTGTCTGTGATACCTGGAAGGCACCCTGGAAATCCTCAGCTGGAATGTCTGTCGGGAACCTTCCAACATTCTCTTGGATTTTGTCACGCTTTCCCGAACGCTTTCCTTAAGTAAGAAAAGAAAAACAATGTGGTGCAGACAGTCATGTGCGGGCCGCAAGCGAGAGCCTCGCGGGCTGCATGCCGCCGTGCATTTGAGAGCCCAGCTATTCACGACTGTGTCAAGAGGGTACGCAGTTTCGTCTACAGCTGTCGTGGCAAACACGATAACCAAAGTTACGAAAGTGCGTGCGCTGGCCACACGTGTACTTTTGAAGCTCCAGCATGTTGCTCTCGGTTTTCGCTCAACAGTTTCAGTACCAAAGTTCGTATTACCATGATGAAAAAAAGTGTTCCGAACATCCGAACTTCGGCCCAGTGGACACAGCAGAGTGCGGTTGGGGAATCTCACGAATTTGTGTCTGCCAGTCTCGTGTCACTGACGTTCTGTGGTACAGTTTACATGCACCCTTTCTACGTTCATTCACCTTACAATGTGATGGTTCGTAAAAAGCCTGAATCGATTTGGGTTGGATTTTTGTTAGTGTGGCCAGATCCCGCACAGAAATTTCGATTTGCGGGAGATTTTCCTCACAACCATATAATCGTAAAAAATGGTCAAAAATTAGGAGCCTCCCGGATAATCCGAGAGGCTTGACTGCGCTGTGCACTGGGTCATATACTGCACTGCTGCCGAAAACCCGCAGGCTTCCACTAAGCCAGACCAAATGCCAGAATCGGGTTTTAAGAAAACTAACTTTATACAATCTAGAGAGCACTTTTTCGGATTTCGGCAGTGCCGAAACAATTTGTGACGGGCAGCATCTCATGACAGGCCCATAGCCAGGGGTAAAAGTGACTCTAGCCCGCCCCCTACCTTGATATTCGTACTGAGGGGGTTGTTTTACCGAGAATAATTAATGAAGACAGGGTTTTTTTTGTTTCCAATGCATTCAACAAGTGAACTCGCCCCCCCTCCCCCCCCCCCCAAATATTTCTGGCTATGGGCCTGCCATATAAACTGGATCTCGAGTAGCAGGCACTGCACCTGCTTAAAGGGGCGCTGCAGCACTTTCTGAGCATGGTCAGAAAACGCTGCCGATAATATAGCACAGCACACGGCCTGGAATTCACAATAAATTATCAAAGTCAGCTAAATATTGCTTTCTTTTCTCTTGAAAAATCACGTTACATGCCCATAAACCACACGTCAATGACACATCTATCAGCCATTGGCGGATTTGAACATGGCGCGCTCGCTCGTTTCAGTGATCGCTGCAGGAGGACGCTACTTGTCCACGCGTGCACGCACAATTACACTGAAAAACGGGCGGATTCTTAAAATTTTTTTGTGGCATTGAATTTGTGAGGCAATAAGCTCTTCCAGGGAATTCATTTCATGGTTACTTGAGAGAGTGTTTCAGGGAGAGAGTATTTTGAAGAATTTAGCCATTTGTGCAGGTTCCATTATTTTATTTATTTATTTACAGGATTTCTGCTGGCTTCAAAGTGAAGCCATAAGCAGGAGTGGGTAACATATAAATATAGCACGCTGAACATTTTCACAATATATTACGCACAGAGTGTGTCGCGGACACACAGGTTTTAACGCGGTAAAAAGAAAAATATACAGTGCATGACATGCAATTGTGCATAGTATAATACCTATATAAGTGCGTACTAACATCACTTGTGTACTAACAACGCAACGTCGCAAAACAAAGAGTACAATAATGGCAGGAAGACATGCTATAAGTTTTTTAGCTCCGATAAGAATGACGCCACTGTCGCCGCCTCCACAATCCCACCAGGGAGGCGATTCCACTCGCGTAAAGTTCGTGGGAAAAAAGAGCCCATGTACAAGTTCATTCTGCAAGAAAATTCCTGTAATTGTTTTGAATTATCCGCCCGCAAGGGTCGTCGCACAACTTTTTCTATATATGCACTTGAATCAATGCCAAGCTTATCGTGGTAGAGCAGATACATATATTTTAGTCTTTCGCGATATCGCCGCAAATGTAAAGCTTCCAAGTTCACTGTCTGAAGCAAAGCAGTGACTGACGTAAGGGGATTGTATGAGCGAAAGATAAAACGAGCAGATTTTCTTTCTAGGTTTTCTAGTTTATCAATATTTTTCTTTGTGTATGGGTCCCAGACCACGCAGGCATATTCCAAAAGGGGACGAATGTAGGTTTTATATGCTAATAGTTTTATTTCTTGCGTTGACTGTCGTAACGATCTTCTAAAATATCCAAGCTTTCTCATGGCTTTCTTTTCTAGAAAAGTGATATGTTCATTCCTCCGGAGTTCTGAAGTGATTATTAAACCTAAGTATTTATAGCGATTTACAGCACTAAGACAGCAACCATTTATTGAATACTGGAAAGTAAGTGGTGCCTTCTTTCTTGAAATTGTCATTGAGACGGTTTTTGTAGTATTGATGCTCATCTGCCATTTTTCACACCAAATATGCAGTTTGTCCAGGGCACTACTTAATAATGCCTGGTTGGCAGGTGTGTTTACTTCCTGATAAAGGATGCAATCGTCCGCGAACAGTTTGATTTTGACAGGTATATCGTTTACGATATCATTTATATAAACTAAAAAGAATAGTGGCCCGAGAACCGACCCTTGGGGAATGCCTGATTGCACGGGCGCCGGGCGTGAACACGAGCCGCCAACTGATACGCATTGACTCCTAGACGATAAGTATGACTCTATCCATGAGAGAAGCGAGTTATTTTGCAATATGGGTTTTAATTTTAACAAAAGCTTATGGTGCGAGACGCGATCAAACGCCTTCTGGAAGTCCAAAAAGTTATATCGATTTGACTCTGTTTATCTAAGGCTGAGGCAAACTCGTGTATTGTCTCAAGGAGTTGGGTAACCGTCGACATTCCCTTACGGAAACCATGTTGGCGGCAATCAATCAATTTATTTTGTTGCAGAAAGTTTGACAAGTGCGTAAAAATAATATGTTCTAGCTATTTTGAGCAGGTACACAGTAAAGATATTGGTCTGTATGACGTAATTAGTGAAGGATCTTCCGCCTTAGGGATAGGAACAACCTTCACGCGCTTCCAATCTCTCGGGAGTTCTGCAGTGGACAATGTTTTTTTGAATATAATAGATAAATACTTCGAACACCATTCTGCATACGTTACTAGAAATGCGTTCGGTATGCAATCAATTCCTGGTGATTTCTTTATATTGATTTTAAGCAGCAGTGATAAGACACCCTCTTCAGTTATCATTAAGTCAGAAATTTTGGGTACGTCCTGAGAAATCGCAAAATTTGGTTGTTTCCCATCGTCATTTGTGTAGACTGAACAGAAGAACTTGTTAAACGATGACGCAAGGAGTGATTCATCAGTTACCAATTCTCCATCAACGAGGATTTTATATGCCTGTTGCTTCCTAGGTGACAAGTGTCGCCAGAACTTCGCAGGAGCAGAAAGCAAGAAGTTTTTCAAAGATATGTTGAAAAAGTAGTCTTTTGCCTTCTTTATGGTTTCATTTAACTGCAAACGCATATTAGAAAATTTTGATACATGAGAAGATGACGGGTTCCGGCGCAGTATTTTGCGCATCTTCTTTAGTTTGCGTCCCGCTCGCACTACTTCCCTTGTCGTCCAAGGGCGAGCCGATCGCGTTCTGATAATCTTTGAGGGGACATGACTTGAGACGAATTTCATAACAAGATTCTTGAAGAAACCCCACCAATCTTCGACAGAGCAACTACTTGATTCACACATATCACCGAAATCAGCAAACGATATATTTAACAGGTCAAGAACGGCGACGTCATCAGCACGAGTGAAATTTGGCTCTACACGTTTTTCCTTCACTTCTTTCCTTACGTGGAGTGGAATGCTTAAAGATAACAATCGATGGTCGGATACACCGTCATAGACGCACAAAGCAGGATTTCGACGAAGGATTCTGTCACTCGCAAGAAAAAGATCCAAAATAGATTGTGCGTTACTTTGAACACGGGTGGGTTGTTTTACTAGCTGTGTTAAGTCATGAAAAAGAACAATGTCGACCAAGGGCTCAGCATAACTAGAAAGCGGTTCCGGAAAGTCCGCGTCCCAATTAACTTGAGGAATATTAAAATCGCCAGCTAACAATATATTAGAAGTGCTTGTGTTGCAAGAACAAAGAAAATCATTAATACCATCAAAAAACGGCTTCTCGGCGTACGGAAGATGGTAAAATGCACCCACAACCAGGTTCATTTCCTCAAGGTGTATTTTAATAATGACACCTTCAATACCGTCTCTATCGGAAAGCCTAGTCACATGGAGGTAGTTTTTAAACAGGATGGCCACACCACCACCACGAGATGGTCTGTCTTTCCTATAAATGCCACATCCTGGGGGCGCTATTTCGTCGTCCTTAATATCTGAATGTAGCCAGGTTTCTGTTATTACGATCAGATAGGGTGCATGCGCTATTGTGATACTTTCCAGGTCATCAAGTTTATTATGCTGCGGGCGTTAAACTGAATGCAGCGAAGTGAATTGCCTGATTGTGCTTCGGTTCACTGCTGAGATTCCTTAACGACATTACCTGGAAGTGGCACTCATTCGTTACGGTCTGCATCCCAAACGAGCAGAACACTGTTAACTCGGATTTTGTCGTAGATTAATTTCACCTTTTCGCCTGCCCTTCGATTTTCCGCCGTGCTTTCCCAAACTTTTCTTCTTTTATGTCGTTTAGCTTCCGAGAAGTCGTCAGAAATCGAAAAACCTGTACCCTTTAGTTTGAAGCAATTTTTAAGCACAGCAACCTTGTCACGGTAATCAATAAACTTTAGAATTATAGGGCGAGGCTTACGTAGTTGTTTGCGCCCAATTCTGTGAATTCTTTCCGCAGACGACACTTGTATTTCCAGGATATCGGTAAACACACCCTTCAACACACTTTCGCTGAGTTCATCGAAAATTTCATTAGTTGTTTCTGGTATACCGAAGACAATCAAGTTGTTTTGCCTATTTCTATCTTCAAGATCAGCTAGCTTGCTTTCCAAGCTTATGACCCTTTTTTCCAACTTATACGCCATTGTTTTCACCTCATTTACAGCCGTAGCAACTTCTTCCACTTTTTTTAACTTCAGCTCAATGCCATCCAGCCTTTCCCGAATGCTTTTCTGACCATCCAAAAGCTCAGCAAGCAACTTTTGAACGTCAGGGCCGGGATTCGGTTCGACGTCGCCACACAACAAAAGCAAAGAGAGAAGCATTTCGCGTACACTAGAACAGATTCTGCTTAAGCTACATGGGCATGTCAGCTGGACAAAGAAAGGGTCGTCACATTTGACAGATGAAACATCACTAACCTGCATGAAGAAAATAAACCGATTTGACATGATGTCGACGCGAGGTCAGCCGACATGCCCACTGTTAATATGTTATTCCCAGAAAATGCACATTATTTTTATAACAGACCTCATACTTTGAATAGTAATATACCAGTGCAAATAAAATAAAAAGCCTATGAGAAAAGTACAGTCGACTCCTCCTAAAAGAAACTCAAAAGGGAGCCATAAAACTGTTCCATTATCGGAAGTTTCATTTAAGCAAAGTACACTAATTTAGTGAAATAAGACCTTCATCTAAAATGCGCAAACCCCACCTTACTCACGAGGATGAGTAGGAGAAAAAAAAAGAGTGAAGAGTGGTTTGTTTGGCAAGCTTGAGTTGTTTTTTCATAAGGTACGCACCCATGCCTGACAAACTAGCTAGAAATTCTGGACAAGTCTCATGCTCAAAATAGCGCTGCAAAAGTTCAACAGCCTCTTTAGCTGATCGGCCTGGTGGCACGACTGCGCAGGCAGTATTGTCATCACATTCATAGCTGGAATATTGATGTTCATCTTGCACTTTGGCAATCATTTCCTTGACAGTTTCTTCATGACAGGCACGAACATTTTCATCAATTGATTCGTAGTTCTGCAGCGTGAAAGGGGCAGAGGGCACGACCTGACTGAATACTGTCTCAATGTCTGCATCAGCAGGGCTTTCTTCTTCATCAAGTATTGCTTTCTTGCGCTTGAAAGCCAGCATGTTGAAAGCATCTGTGTATTGTTGCCTTCACTTGCTCCCAGGCACAAGCCAAAATGTGGATGGCTGCCAATAAATCTATGCTGTAGAATTTCTGGCTGCTTGCTATAGGCAGCATTTGATGGAGCAATTGTCTGTAGTAATGAACTTAATGTTCTGAATAACCCCTTGATCCATCGGCTGGAACACTGCCGTTGCATTGACTGGCAAGAACTCCAGAGTGATAACTTGGAGGCCTTGAACTTGACCGTGGGCTGGGCAATCATCCACGATGAAGACAACCTTCCTGCCTTTCCTCGTAAATCTAGCGTCTTACTACCGGAGCCAGTTTTGGAAATTGGCCATGGTCATCTACGCTGTTCAGATCCCATGGTACGGAACAGGAAGGTGTCGAACGCCTTTAACACAACGTGGGTGCCTTGATTTTTCTATTATCAACAGCTTTAATTTCGCATCTCCTGCCATGTTTGCACCCACAAGCACAGTGATGCAATCTTTAATGCGTTTTCTTCCACTACAGGCTTCGCCTTTGAAGGTGAGAGTCTTTGATGAAAGCGTCTTATAAAAAAGACTTATCTCGTCGACAGTGAAGGCGTCTCGTGGCTCAAAGCTCATCAAAATTTCCTTAAGCCGCCCCTGTTGCCAGTCGATGCAAATGTCCCTGTTGACTGCACCATTCTCCCCTGAGATTGCTTTGAAGACTAGGCCATGGCGTGTTTGGATTCGGCTGAGCCATCCGTTGCTTAGGACAAATTTCTTAACACCCACTTGCATGGCGATCTCTCGAGCTTTCTGCTCAAGAATCGGTTCTTTATGGGCAAATGGGAACTCCATGCACACTTGAACCACAAAAAAAGAACTTTTTCTAGTTGTTCATAAGGCGTCGTCCGCATCCACATCTGTTTAAGATGTAAAGGTCCCGTTCTAAACAGCGCCTTCAATCATTTCTCTGTCTTTCCAGATCCGCGACAGCGTCGATTTTGGGATTTTTTTTTCGCCTCCTCCGTCGTGGGCAGGCCTCTTCGATCGAGGTCCTGAAGAATTTGCAGTTTTTTTTTTTTTTTTTCAAGCGAGAGTGCATGGTGCGGCCCCTTCCTTTTTATCGGGCTGAAATAACGCCGTGATCCACCGCACTTGACCGCACAAGTAGGCCTAACGCACTATTGATTTGCAGACTCTGCTCCCACAGCCACAAGCAACAATGGCTACTGGATTGACTTGTCTCGATCTCGAGGTGTTGCCATGGCTGTGAGACTATCTTTGGCATGAGAGAGTCTATGCTGTGTTAAGAGTTTGTGCCGTTTATCCGTAGGTGACCGATAAGCACTGTTTCGATTAACTGATGAATTTTACTGCACAACACATAGAAATCCGGCCATATGAGCCCTTTTGGTTCCGTTAATGAGACATTTTCGTTTAAGCGAGTTTCGTTTATGGGGAGTCCACTGTATTCAAAAGTCGGAATATTCGCTTGCCCCTAATATTGCACCTTTGGCACATAAAACCTTGAACATCACCTTTAATATAGTCAAACCAATTAATGCAAATGCACATCTCTTACATCATTCTTAATGCACATTGCAAACTTTAGCATTTACTATTGACTGGCTGTAGTAACTATGGCGTTAAGACCCCAGTAAGGCGTGTTTCTTTGCCTTTAGTTCGAGTGCCATAGAAATTGTAAATCCGGATATTGTCGAAATTTCTAAATAAGTAAATGAAATGCACACGTTATCAGCGATCCGGGATAATGGGTGAAACCATTATTTTGGCCAGCTCTATGCGTTTTTGCAGCGGTGGAGCTCGAAAGCTGTGGGATCATTTCGCAGCACCCGCTCAACATGAACAACGTGTCATTCATGTTACTCGTGCATACATTCGTTTCGTTTTCCTTTGATGCCTCGCAGATCGAACTGTCCATAGGCAAGTTCCCGTATCCCACCTTCCGAACCCCGTTTGAGCAGCTGAAGCATGTGGTCGAAGACGACCCTCCTAGACTGCCGACTGGACAGTTCTCGCCAGAATACGAAGATTTCATTGATGCCTGGTGAGTAGTAGTCTAATGCCGATAGCACAGTTTGGTTCTGTTCTTGATTATCATACCGTAAGGCTTCTCTAACTCAGTGTCACAAAATACAAGAAAAAGCTATTGCCATAGGCATGTGTGCAGTGCCCCCCCTCCCCCTCTAATGCTTTGTCTTTGCACTGCGTTATAATCATAAGAGCCTTAGTGGGACAGGTTAAAAAAAAGGGGGAGGGGTCGAACTATAGCAGAACAAATGCATAATGGCAGCCAATACTCCCACTAACATACTATGAATATTTCATGAGAAGCACAATTTTTGCTTGTCACACATATATTGTGCTGATTATAAAGCAGGGTGCTGTATCACTGTCGCTACCTAAGTTGGCCATTGTTTTAAATTGCACGAAACATAATGACGATTAAAAAATGTCAAAGCATTCGTTATATCTGTCTGTCTATAGAGGTTTCTAGCTTTGAAGGTCTGCTCAGGCAGAGCTGCGTAAAACTTGCGTTTAACCCTGAGTTCTTCAGCTGATTCAGTTATATTTAGGTAATTCTAAAAACTCCACATTCTGTCCGATATCTATGTCACTTCTCATATGTAATCCTGTAGGCTGCCTCTGCAATTGCAATAGTTTTCAATACACGGTACTCTTGTAAAGAGAACCTGAAGGTGGCAGTCAAAATATTTCTATTTCATGGGAGTCCTGTTTTTGAGAAGTGAAAAAGTGTGCAGATTTCAAGTCTAAAAGCAATCACAATGGAAGCAGTCGTTCCATTTAAGGAGCAATGCTGTTTGGGAAATATTCATTTTTTGAGAGTCAGCTGTAGTGTTGCCATATCATAACACTGTCACCTGGCTAGTAGCATAAAGTGACCTGCTTTCATATGTGTTCCTTCTTTTTTGTGTGTGTGTCTTTCAGCCTACAAAAGCACCCGACGAAGAGGCCGACTTATCCGCAGCTGCTCAACATGCCGTTTCTTCAGCATCACTCTCAAGGCTCAGAGGAGATCTCCGAATTCATTGCCGCTATTCTCGACGGCACCGAGGTCAAGAAAGAGTCCTCGCCATCCGAAGAGCCATAGCCGCACTGCTCCTAGCCAATTGGGGAGGCTCGGCTACCGCTTAACTTCAGCTGCTGGGTGCCCATGCTGAAACCGGCTGTTCACCCAGGTCTCTCTCGTAACCCAGGTTGTCGTTGCATGCCGGCAGTCCCAGCAGATCTCGCCAAAGCTTATCACGACGAGTCGCTGGGCTCGCCAGTGTCCAGCAAGGAGTTGTCCTCAAGTTTAGCAAGTCTGAAACCTCGAAAGGAAGCCTGCCACTGCTGCGAAAAACGGCGAGTCTCATGGGCTTTTGGCAGCCTTTGGCATCTCTCAGCATCACTTGCAGTCTCGATGTGCCCAAACTCCATGTGCCTGGGGCACGGCGCAACGTTCCTGTTGCACTATACGATGTGTCATCGTGAAAATTGGCTTTCAGATGTCCAAGTACTCTCATCTCCGAGACAAATCGCCCTTCTTCAGTGATGTAACAGGACCGAGTTGTGACCGTGTGCAATCACCTTACACTGCTCTCTTTTTGGGGGTGCATCTTAATTTACCAAGACACACCGGACAAGCTCCTGCAAAGAACAGTGACCAGTGAATCACGGTCAGTCAAGAGGGACCGTAAAATGCCAATGTGCCGAATCGAACCAAACTACTGTACAGAAGACGGTACCGCGCTTCCAGTGGAGTGTAGCTGGTTTTTGGTGCAGCGTCGACGGTGGCCCGAACGATAGTGCCGAAAGCAATTTTTTGCTAGGCATAAAAAGTGGCTTGTAGTCAAAGATAGAAGTCTGCCTCGCTAATTAAGCGAGAAAGATGTGTGAGCCTAGAATGGAGCTAAACTTTCGTGTGCGCATCCGCAACAGTGCATCGTACCAGTGAAGTTTCACTCATGGCCTAACGCAGTTCAAATACTGTTGGCCTATGGTCTCGTGTACCTTAACAGACCTTTGAAGCATGTCTCGTTTTTGCACTTGTTTTCTGTTCTCCTGCTCATGTTCTTCTCTGTCAACATTTTTTTTTTGTAGGAGAGGAAAAAGACTATTTAGTGAACCTCATCTCATCCGGTGAAGGATCGAAGTTGTAGCTTAGTAGATCTGAGAGAAATTGTGTGTACCTTCTGCGAGTTATAAGTGTGGACAGACCGTTTCATGCGGCTCGAAAGCCACGTGAAGCAGAAGAACCGTGCCCCGTCCATAACTTGGTACGTACTCACCTAAGTGCAGAGCGAGTCTGCAATTATTCTTTCACTTGGAAACCTGTCAATGCAGTGGATGCCAATATTACATGAATTTGCCTTGAAGCGTCGCACAGTAGTGCTGTGCTTTATGAGTCATTGTGCAGCTTTCCTTCGACTCTGCACTGCGCTGGCGTCATGGATTCTTGCTTAGCTTTCGTCATGCGTGTAGCGATGAATGTAGCACGTACAAGGTTCTGAAGTGCCTCTGCTGGAAAAAATGAAAGCACTAATCGTGCCAACAGGAACGGTGCAAATGCCGTTTTCCTACGATGGCAAGCCTAATGGTGATGGCCATTAAGGTGTCCAGTAACGTAACTAATCTGGTCTGAAATGCTAAGCGTAATCGCTTATTGCGGCTCGCCATAATGCATGCATTTTTTTGATGGTGCCAGTAATCATTGACAATAATGAAAGTTGTATTTTGGGAAGTGTTTTGTTCGTTATATATCAAAACAGTGAACAAGAGTTGACACAGGCAAAATTGCGATAGAAGCTACAGTGCAATTATTTACTAATGCGATGCAACGCTAAGGAATTGTTGTTCAGAATACGTGCTGTAAATTTCCCGAAGTTGCTGGGTAAAAAAATGATGGAGTGAAAAGATTGCCTTTATATGTATGTATTATCGCTAGGCTTAATGTATATCATTTTGTTTTTTGCAGTATTTGTTCAGGAAATAACATCATATTTCTGCCTCAGTGACGAGATTGTTAACAAGGTGCTTTGCCCAGGCCTAGTTTTAGGTACACCGATAGCTCTGATATTTTGATAAGTGCTGACAGATGTAAAAAAAAGATTGCCTTTCTAGAGGAGCGGATTTGAAGATATATTCGTCAGAGGTTTAACACTTTGTTGTTGAATCACAGTTTGAGTGTAGTACAAAGAAAAAGTTTTTCACTGTAACTGATGCCATGTTTAATTCGAAGTTTTCTGTTTCTCTTTTAAATGGAATACTCATTGAACTTGAAAGCATGATCAACTATATTATAAAACTGTGTCTAGAAATGCATTATATTCCTGTTTTTAATGTCGAGGAATGCTTACGGTGATTTTTGGTCGGTGTCAATGAAAATTTCACCGATGACTAGGCTTAATGTACCGCCCGGTGTCTGGTGTATGAACGACTGCGTTTGAAGATTGTTCTCACTTTTGCAGAGCACTTTTTATGGCAGGTGAAATTGAGCTCGCCTTCATCTCTCGGCAGCAAAATTAACCCATGTGTGACTTTCGGGAGCTTACCATGTGCGTGCTGCTTCCGATAGATGTCTGCTTTTCAGCCTCTTCAAAAGTGCCTGTATATTTACAATCTTTTTTTTTTCTTTTGCTGCTTGTTCAGGAGTTGTTTTTAATAAGGAAATACTTCTAGTGACTTCCACCATTGACTTGCTTTATGGCAATAAAGCATCAAAGTCATACTTGTTAGAAAATCTTGTTTTCTCAATATATCAACTTCATTGACAACTGCAAACAGTGGACCTTTCTTTTAGACTTTTAATGGGACAAACAACCAGTTTTTATGTTAGCTCTGAATTAAAATTACCAGCACAAACACACAACATGCCCCACAAAAAAAAAAAAAGAAGATACATGCACGAGCTCTGACTATCAACCGCTTTTATGCTATCTATGTTACCTTATGAATGAAGAAAAGAAGTGTACATTTTAAGGCTTCAATCTTTTCGTTAGACACACTATTAATGAGGTCTGTCAGACAATCATGCAAAGGAAAGTACAGGGGATGCTATATGCTATTCATGTTTCTTTACCTTACCTGTTTTCTTTAGTACAGCAGAAAGCTAACTGGGCAGAGTGTCTAATTATGAAATGGTAGTGCAGAAAATGCTGTGAGAGATGAGAATTTTTTAATCTGGTGGCGACTGGAAAGTAGTATAGAGCATGCTACAAACAGTGGGAGGTGAGCGTGGCAGCAATTCATGTTTGTGTGCTGCGGTTTGCTGTGGCTCCACTGATTGCTGCAGAGGCAGCACTTCATCTCAAGGGCAACTCATTTTAGGTGGTAAGCAGCGTGAAATAGAGTAGGTATTGATAATACCCTCTAATTTTCAGCACTAATTATCGTACACATAAAAAACATCGGATAACATGCAGCAAACTCTATAGTGCAGCTCGAGGCTCTTCCAATACCAAGTTGTGGTGTTCGGTGACATTTAAAGGCAGTTTAAATATCTGATGCTACTCGTCGAAGATCCCCACTGGTTTGCGCCAGGGCGGGGCGCGCGCGTCGAGGCACACCTAGAATGACTGGAACACATAGGGAGCCTGCACGCGTTTCTGTCACATGAAGCCTCCCTAAGGCACACCAGCCTGCCTCGAATCCTGCTAGGGGCATCGAGGCATCCATTTTTGAGACATGAGTAGAATGCGAAGCAGCCTAGGGTGCCTGATGCAGATGCGACGCCTTAATGCAAACCGGTGGGGATCTTCGATTTTCAGTGTTTCTTCGTGTTTGGGGGGGGGGGGGGGGAGAGAGAAGGGGAGTAGCTTTTTGGGTGAGGGCAAGTGCTTGTGAAGCTTGAGGGGAGGCAAGTGCCCCTTGCACACTCCTGCCGACGCCCATGAGATGAAGTGTTAGCGGACGTGAGCATGAACGCGAGTACGCGGGAGCGCAAAGGAGTTAATCAATGGATGCCGCGGAAAGTGAGCAAGTAAGTTCGCGAGTGCTGGCATGACTGGGCGTAAGGATGTGGGAGAGTGCTGACGAGAGCGTGACCTAGGAAAGGGGAAAAAGTAAAGGCCATTAAGCATGCGCCAGGGCAACAAAACCGAAACTGAAGTTTTGTTTTGTTTTTTTTTCTTAGTTTGTCGGTAGGTTGAATCGTTGGTATGCTGGGCCAGTTGGCGCGAACAAACAGCAGGAAAAGAGAATTACTTGATATAGCACTTACATACAACGCTAGTTTCACAGGAGTTTTCTCACACGAGAGCACGAATTACAACCAACAAAAAGGTTATCCAATCTGATTTTGGCCGCACTGATAAAACTGGCAGATAAAAAAGCTTACGAGGCATGTACCGAGGGAACACTGACGCACAAGGTTGATTAATCTACGCAGCTTCTGTCATCTCCCTGACCAGTATGCTTTGCAGATTAAAGCAAACTCAACCACGTGCGTCAGTGTTCATAGCGATAGTGGTGACAGTGTGCCTGCATTATCAACGGCTGCGGGCGGACCATCGATCTGACTACTAACCAAGCGCGAAAAGCATTGACATAGGAAAGAACATCATTTCATTATTCCACACTTGATAAATGATTCTTTCCGGAAAGCATCGCATAGAGAAACAAACGCTGTGCGACAGGACTGTTTAGCGCGACAAAGCTCTGTCTCTCTGGCAACGCTGCAAACACTGGTTGCGGTCTCTTGCGGCGTGCAGATAAACCAGTGAATGGACGAAGACCACAGTTGGGTTATCTTTCTGCCAAGCGTTGCTGGCGATTAGGAGCGACGAAGCGTCGTGGAACTTGGCCATGAGAAGACAAAGCTGGCACAGGCATCGCTGGCCACGACGAAAATAAGGAACGCGCGTGTAGCGTGAGTTGGACGACGAATCGCATCGATCGGCGCGCAAACTAACCCACGCGTCTAACCACAGCCGGGATCTTGTTGCGAATGGTTAACGCTTGCTGCTCGGAGTTCTGCGGATATACGTCTCGGATCCTGGCGTGTTGATTTTGCCAGCAGTGTTCGTCTACCTTTCCCCGAGTGAAATGGCATAGCGGTTGAGCCGCGCGTGCATTATCGGCTTTTTGTGCTATGGTGTTCCGCGTAGGAGCACTGCCATTTAGTAAGTAAGTAAGTAGGTGCTCCTAATCCCTTTTGGCACAGGGCAGGCGCCAGCAGCGCCACAGGACAAAGTTGTGCGCTTCAACGCACATCCATACACACGCACACACACATCACCAGTCAGGCGCTTGCCGCGCCACCGTCAAAAAAAAAAAAAAAACATTTTGTGTTTTACACGCACTTCACGCGAACACGCACTCACACGTTTTCCACTTTACTGTTCGAAGAAAGAAAGGTCTGGTAGTAAATTGCCCGTTTCGCCACCAGGGGAAACGTGCCCTCGGCCAAGTCTATCCAGTGGCGTCGGCGTCGTTTAGATATTTTCTGTCGGCCCTTCGTTGCGCTGGACACTGTCGGGGTGTTTGTCCACCTGCCAGCACAGTCTGTCCCAGAGTTTTAGACGTCGCTTGGCACTCTCGGTGTGTTCGACTCGGGTGTCGACGGGATCATCTGGGAGACCCAGATATTCCGCCAGGTTTATCTTGGGTAGGTCCCTCGCTCCGAGTCGCGGGCAATCCATCAGGATATGTTGGATGGTTTCTTCCGTGGCCCCGCATAGGCGGCACGACGGGTCCGTGTCGAACAGTTCCCAATGCCGCTTCCGCGTGGGCAGTGACCCCGTCCTGGCTTGGAACAGGAGGGCGCTTTCCCGGTCGCCCCTGTAAAATGGCTCACGGTCTGGAGCCTGCTTGTATTCGAGGTATAACTGTAGGCTCCTTTTCTTTGCCGCCGACGTGCGCCACATCTCTGTGCTGGCTTCGGTTATAGTGTTTTTTGTTATTATACGCCATTCTCGTTCCGATTTTGCTTCTTCCAGTTTTGTGTTATGGCCGAATTTATTTTCCAGAGAAGCCAGTCGTTTCATCCACTGTGTTTTTATGCCCCTGTATCGGAGGTGTAGGTATATGCGCTGGCTGTAATTTGTTTCTGGTAGAAACTTTAGCCGGCCCGCATATTGTATTTTTGACCTTGCTTCGCGTGCTTCGAAAGTTGACCAGGCCAACTCCCCTGTTACTGCTGCGTTTGCTGTTGCAAAGCTGCCTCCCAGTAGCCAGCGCCCCAGTTCATTTTGGTGGCGGTCCAAACATCGCACTGTTTGGGTAGAGTACGCCAATGTGTCACCTGCGTAGGTTATTGCAGGCACGGCAAGAGTCTTCCAAAGTGTGCGGCCTACCCTGTAGGGGTTGTAGGAATGCCGTGACAGGTGCCACACCCTACCTTTTAGGCGGTTGGATTGTTTTAGGAGTAATTCTTGGTGTTTGTCAAGGTAATTCTTTTGGTCTGATATTGTTATGCCTAAATATCTGTATGTTGCTGTTTTCTTGATGGTGTTGCCTTGGATGGTGAATGTTATGTCTTTGTCATCAATGTTTATGCCCATCCATTGTGTTTTGTCAGTGTTGAATGTGAGGCAATCTTCGTGGGCTACGCGAGAGCATATGTCGAGGAGATGTTGCAGGTCAGCTGGGGATTCAGCCAATAATACGATGTCATCGGCAAATGCCAAGCATGAAATTTTAGTGTAGATTTCTTGGCGCTCAGTTGTTACGGTGGAAAGACGTAGCCCTGGTCCTTCTCTATTTACTTGTTCTAGTAGGCTGTTAATGTAAATATTGAATAATGTTGGCGATAGTGGGCACCCTTGTTTGAGTCCAATATTTTGTTGCACCTGTCTAGATTTATATTTGCCCAGTTCATACACTGCCGTACACTCTGCATATAGTGCTTTTAGTAATTTGATGAAGTCTTCCTCAATATTAATTTTTTCTAGCTTCTCCCACAGTCGTGAGTGCGGCACTGAGTCATATGCTTGTTGTAGATCCAGGTATGCCAGGTATAGTTGAGATTTGTCTCTGTTTTTCATTTCTATTGCCTGGGTTAGGGTAAAGATATGGTCACTTGTCCGTCTGTTTGGGCGAAATCCATTTTGCGATTCTGACAAGATTAAGGTTTTTTCACAGTGGTTTTGTAGCCTGCGATTCAGGATTGTATTGAAGAGTTTCAGAATGCTACTCAGTATTGTTATGGGGCGATACGCCCCAATGTCACTTGTTTCCTTTCCCTTTCCCTTGTGAATCAGCTTTACCCGGCTTTCTTTCCAAGTTCTTGGTATTTTTCTGCTTGCCAGAATGTCGTTGAGGCAGCCGCGTAGCATTTCCTTTGCCTCTGTTTTGAATGCTTTCAGGAATTCGTTGGGTATATCATCGAGTCCTGTTGCTTTCTGGTTTTTTAGATCATTTATGCGTCTCTTTAGTTCTAGTTTAGAAATTGGTCCAGTCAGCTTTTCTTCTTCAGGTGTGCTGGTCTTGTCCTTTTTTCTACTGCTGATCTGGGGTGGTGGATCTACTGGATTGGTTTGCATATTTTTAAAATGTTTAGTTATGTGCTGTTCAATTTCTTCTTTGGTATGTAGAGGAATGCTATTTTCAGTAAGTAGTATGAGTGAATCTTCCTGAAGGGTGTCCTTTGGTTCCAGTGTCCTTATGTATGCCCAAAACTTCTGACTGTAATGGTTACGATCCTTATGCAGGTTTTCTTCTTCTTTTGGAATTTCTGGTCTATCTTTTTTGCGGCCATTTCCTTTACTTTCTTTTTTGGGCCAGGTATTCCTTCCAAATTAC